GATTACTTCTATTTACGTTGAAGGCCTCTCAAAGTTGAAACGAATAGCAACTTTGGACCTCCACAACAACAACATAGATTTTGTCCCACCACTGCTTGGAAATATGACACAGCTAAGGTTTGTTGGGGAATGATTATAGTATGGCTTTCTTTTTATTGTAACATTATAATTTATTATTGTCTGTAGTTTAACTAGTCAAAATTTACTTGTAAGTTGAATTATTTTGTAAGATGTGGTTTGATTAAAGCAGGTGTTTGCAGATACTGCAATTTCTTTAATGTAATTAAAGGATGAAAAATAAGTCTGAAATACAAATTTTACTTTCAGAACTCTGCAACTAGAAGGAAATGCATTCAGGGTACCAAGGACTGCCATTTTAGCTAAAGGAACTCGTGAGATCTTGGACTACTTGCGAACAAGAATTGTTGATCAGTGAATCTGTTACCATCATAAAATCAACTAATATGTGGTACATTGTAAAGGATATTCTCAAACTTTAAACTAGTGACCTCAGTAATGAAACATATTCTCTGAATAGTACTTAGTTTGCTATATGTAGGGATAAGTATAAAGGACCAGTTTATTCTATAATAGAAGTGATATAATAATATAAATTCAAATCCATCCGCATGCTCATGTCTGTATTTGTATGTATCTTTAAGTAAACATAATGTTTGCCCTAAGCATACCTTTTTAAGGAGCCCAGTGACCCTTCAGGAAATGGACAAGAAGCAGTCCAGATCTATTGTTTTTATGCTATGTGAAACTGAATGTATTTTATGCTTGTTGAGCAAGCAAGTTATGTATTCATTTGAGAGGGAAAATTTGTGATAACTAGCTTATTGGTATGATTCAGAGAGAGTGAAAGTTGAAGGGCTGCAAGTTATTTTAAAAAGGAATCAGGTGGTGGAACCTTGCACAAACACTTGCTTTGTCATTTGAATGTGGATTTGCATCTTCAGTTTGTGTATACACTTGTGTTTCCTATACTTTTCATAGGTACCAAGATTAACTGTAAGCTTTAAATAATTCTATATTGTTTTTAATATTTGATACTGCTGAAATTTGCTGTTACTGTACATACTACCAAAGAGGTTATTGGAAAAATCTTAAATGTGTTGATTATTCTTTACAAAATTATGATATAAATGTACCTTTCATAATATTTTCCAAATTATAACTGTGGCATATCATATTTGCTCTGAAAGTTTTGAAATGTATACTTAAAATGTGATTTGTATATATGTTTTTACTATGAGTCTGATTCAAGAATTCTATACTCATACTAATTCAGAAGCATGTATGACAATGATGAATTAGGATTGTTCATTAGTGTCGGAAGTCATAATGCTGTGTTTTTGATTATTTTTTACATATGTAAGGGAAATTTGAAAAAAATATTTCAGTTAATTACAGAATGTGCTAATTATCTGTGCTTAGCGATGCAAACAGCTTAAAATAATTTACTGAACTGTACTGGTGCATTTTAGCTGAAGTTATTGAATATATATATATTTAATATAATATTAAATGTTATATGTACATTATATTTTTTGTCAGTTTTGATTACAAGTAATATTTTCTTGCCATAAATTCACTGACTTAAACTCTGTTATGCTTTGCCTTCTACTTTCTCATAGTCTTATGATGTTAGATTTGACTTGTCCAAAAAGTAAATTCTGCAATATTATTATTAATGTTGTTATTATTATTATATATATAATTTTTTTTTTTACATTAGCTCTTAATTTTTCTGACGTCATGTTTAGTGGTAAATGGTTTCTTTCATAAATTTAGTGGTCACAGTACAAAAGTACTTAATGCTTTAATAATTTTACACTGTAGATATTGTCATTATTTAATTGTCTTACAAAACTGCCATTTTTAATTTATAATCTTGCTCTCTCCAAATGTATTTTTATAGTAGTTAGCACAGTTAACTTTACAAAGCTGAAGAGGTGTCTGTCATAGTTAAGAATATATTCATATAATTGATCTTTTAGGTCAATGGAAGAATTTTAATTTAATGTGCTACTTGTCAAAAGTCATACTATAGTTTAGGATAGTATGGTATTTGAAACTGGGAAAGAGGGTGACAGTAGAGACTAAAAGGTTAAGGTGGGTACTATTAACAGGGGGAAAGGGTGGGATTAAGGATGATTAGATCAAATGGAGGATATATATGTATCTTAGGTAGGAAAATAAGTTCTTAAAGGAAAAAAGTGTGGGATATCACAAGGAAGTCCATAGAAGGCAGGGATAAGCAAAATGGAAAAGAGGGGTTAAGGGCAATTAGATCAAAGAGCTATTATGAATATAAGAAAACATGGGAAATGAGACTAGAGATCACAAGGAGGAGGTGAAGTATAAGGAGGAATGTCAGGAGATGAGTGATTTGGAATGAATGGAGCTGACAGCAGGTATGGAGCAGGGGTAGTAGTAGCAGTGTGCAGAGGAAAGGTAGGGGTTAGTGAACTGGAAAAGTTGTCAGTGGAGCTAGTTGATCAGGGTAGTTAATCAATCGGGGAAAAATATTATATAAAGTCTTTTCAGTAGACAAAATATTAACAGGAAATTGTGAAAGCTGATGTACCATCTCTTGGCATGGTGCAGGAAGTTCTGTATTGAGTGAGTTAACCAAACAATCTTGAGTAATTAGTAATTAAACATCTGAACTTGCAGAACTCTTGTAAAATTTGAAGGGAATTTATTTATGAATAAGAAATGGACTACAGTGCTCTGATACTGTATTATAATTTGACAGTAGTTGATGCAGCTTTTATTTTTAATTATAATGTAACTACACATTCATAAATGTCTATGTAATTATTATTGACGTCTTTATTGATAATTGTTACTGGGAGCAATGCACCCTCCAGAGACTGAAGTCCCAAAACCAGGGTATCATGGGAACCGAAAAAACAACCTAACCTTTCCTACCTTCTATTTATTCATTAGACAGTGGGGCAAGCCCTCCTTGCACCCCCCATTTATTAGCAGATCATGCCAGCTTACAGAAAATGGACATTAAGAAATGTGTGAGGGTGTTATGGACTTAGTCTCTGAGTGGTACTATGTAGCAGACATTTTCATCATTTACCTATAAATTTGAGGCTGCTGTAGCTTAAACTATATTTTTCCTTACTCTTATTTCTTACATTCTTACTATATTTTTTCCTGCTATGCAACAAATATTCTCGTCATTTATCTATAAATTGAGGCTGCTGTAGCTTAACTGTACCCCAATTTTATTAGCATTTCATCCATCCTATAGAAAATGGATATTAAGAATCTAGCAATGTGAGGGTGTTGTGGACTTTGTCTCTGAGCGGTGATATGCAGTGGTTATTTTTGTCATTTCACTGTAAATACGAGGTTGCTGCAGCTGTACGTATGATGTGCTCTATAAGATAGCGGTGTCCATTTCTCCCTGTATCCGTGCATCACTCTCAGTAACTTAGACTTTTTTATTTTCATATATTCAGATACATGTTAAGCATTGTAACTAACCCTCTAGCCATGGTTTATGAATAATCAGTCAGTTCTGACACTCTTTATCATGAAGTCTGCCTCAATTGCTGTAATATCTGGCACTCCCAACTGAGAGATGGATCAATGCCCAGACACTAGTCTAGAGAACTATTGCAGGCCTCTCTATGTCAAGAATTTATCTGTTAATCAGTTTAATGAAAAAAAATGCCCTAGTCTAGCTGATATTATGAAATTGCTCTAAGTATGTGAAGTGAATTTTGAAGATTTTTGTATTTAGTAGGTAGACTGTCTTCATAACTGAATTTATGATTTCATAGTAAAAAAAAATACACATTTTTCTTAAGATACTGAAGGCTTAGCAAATTCAGAACAAATTGTTAACCCGATTTTGTATTAAATGTAATAAAAAGGGCACTAACATTTAAGTATCAGACATTTCAGGATAGATTCTAAGTTATCAGAAATGTAACAAGTGTAGAGCTCTGTCATTAAATTGCAAGTATGAGTTACATTAGACTAGATTTCATAGTTATTAGTGTAAATTAAAACAAATGCAAAAAAAAAAAAAATATATATATATATATAATGTAACTACTTGGAAATAGGCTTCAGTAGTAATTTAAAATATATCGTTTATAAACCCTTCAGTTTTATAAAGAATACATGTAATATTACACAACTGCATTGAAAAGTGTTATGTAGTATAAAATGGACTTTATTACATCATATGCTTTTACCCTGGGTAATGTGTGATCCCTTTCTTTTATTAGACTAGGTTTGAATCAAGTATTACCTCAACATCTGTTATCAGTGGCAAATTCAAAATAAAGCAATAATGCAAGGCTTGGGAGTAAAGCCTCTGGGTAAGGCAGCGTTTTTTTGTTCATATGGCAAAGTTTGTGGATTCCCAGAATGGTTAAAAATGTTCCAGACATCAAGTCATACAGCACTATGACAGTGATGTAGTTAAAAGGTTAAAATTTGATTTAACAATTGGAATAAAATGTTAGATGGCAAAGGTTGTAAAGTGGTGTTGGCTATAGTATGGTAGTGAACAGGGGTAAAAGGGGAGAGCTAACAGAGTATGAAGGCTATTCTGGACTGAAAGCCAGCCATTCATCTTGGATCATATTTTAATTTTTAGAATGGACTGGAGGGGAAGAAGCAAATTTAGTTGCGACAAGGGCCGAGGCCCAATGTAGACTAAGGTCACCTCCCCCCCCCAAAAAAAAAGGGATTAGGGAGGGGGGTTGGGGAGAACACGGAAATATTCAGTTTTTTTGGATACGGTTTGACAATATACAAGCAATCAGATGTATATAGCAAATTTATTTTAAAGGTAATTTTTCCTTTAACAGTGCCTTTTGTAGGGACAAACCTTTAGATTTCTGTAATGAAATGAAAAGTTTCTATTTCATTGGAATATATCCCATTCAAGCATTTATCATTTTGAATTTGTGCCTATATGGATAAAAAGTTCATATCAATTGAAAAAAGACGGTAAATGGCATCATGGGTGTGTATTTTAAGTGATGCATTTCATTTATACTTGCACAATACTTAACATTTAGTGGGTCAACTTAATCTTTGCTAGCTTTAATTTGGTAAAATTAATCTTTGGCTGTGATAAAAAAAACACTAAGAAAACAACAAGTTTACACTGTGTGAATTAATCCCAAACCTTAGTATCAAAATGTTTTGTAACAACTTTATATTTGTCCTGTGCCCTAACATAGCATGTTTGTATTACATGTCAGCCCTAATTGTGAAGTACATTGCTCATTTAATAAATGCTAATAACTTCAAATGGTTTCACCACCTAATTTATACTTTGACATCCTTAATAATGTCTGGGGGAGAAATTCAAACACACAGTAATACCATCAACTTTATTCTGGCTTATTAAAGACAAAAGTCAGGTGGCATCTTCCACAGTACTGACGATCAAACATGTTGGCCATGAACACACCAGCACCACATTCCTCACTGGGACACTCACGGCGCTGGCGGGTGATCTTGCCATTATCATCCACCTGCAAGAGGATAAAACCATTAATTTTAATTATGCCTCCCCCCCAACCCCCCATCTTTTAAACACCACCCTTTCTTCATAATTTCAAAATATTTGTATCAGTGGTAAACATACCTTATAGTACTTCAGCACAGCAAGCTTAACCTTCTTATGCTTGTGCTTAATCTTCTTGGGGTAGTGTAATTCTTCTTCTTGCGCTTCTTGGCACCACCACGAAGGCGCAGTACCAAGTGAAGAGTTGATTCTGGGTGGAAGAACCAAAATTAAAGAACCTCTGGTTTTGAATGAGGGGAAGAGAACAAGAAGAACAAGAATAGTAAGTACAAGAATAACAAGAACAAAATTATTTACACCCTCTGCCAATGGGTTAATCTGGATTCCTAGACAATCTATAGATTTGTTCTCCAGATTTTCTTCCCTACACAATGAGAAGCATGGAATAATTTGTTTCTTACCAGAATTGTTTACAACACCATACATATGGTCATTTACTAATATTGTGCAAGGCCCAAGCCAATTCATATATACAGACATGCATATACACAGAAATGCACACGTCTAACTGATAGACATACATTCTAACTATTTATCTGCCAGGTATATATGCAAGTCTAGACTGAGACATGCATTTACTTATGTATATACGTCCATATAATGAAAACTTATTGGGTTGGAATTCGTACAATTTAAACAATTGGCCGTTAAGCTGATACACTTCCTTTTCATTTAAGACTGACTTAAGGTAATCAAATTATAACAAGCTTACCTTTCTGGATGTTGTAGTCAGACAGAGTGCGACCATCTTCAAGCTGCTTGCCAGCAAAGATGAGACGCTGTTGGTCTGGGGGAATTCCTGAAAAAACATTCACAATTACACAAGTTTGAATGTCATTGTTACTCACTATATGGATATAATGAATACTTATGTGATAAAGAATGTAACACTGCCTGAACTTACCCTCCTTATCCTGGATCTTGGCCTTCACATTTTCGATAGTATCTGAAGGCTCGACCTCAAGGGTGATGGTCTTCCCCGTTAGGGTTTTGACGAAGATCTGCATGATGGCAGTCTGAAAAACAGGA